TCATACAAGATCTCACCTCGTGGAGTGTCAATGATCATGAGAAACGTGAGGAGTCATCCCAAAACTACACATGAGGATCTTTTCAATGATCTCCAGGCAGCTGGGACTGCAGTCACCAAGAAAACAATTGGTAACACACTACGCCGACAAGGACTGAAATCCTGCAGTGCCCGCAAGGTCCCTCTGCTCAAGTAAGCACATGTCCAGGCCCGTCTGAAGTTTGCCGCTGAACATCTGAATGAAGCAGAGGAGAACTGGTTGAAAGTGTTGTGGTCAAATGACCAAAATTGAGCTCTTTGGCATCAACTCAACTCGCCGTGTTTGGAGGAGGAGGAATGCTGCCTATGACCCCAAGAACACCATCCCAACTGTCAAACATGGTGGTGGAAACATTGTGCTTTGGGGTTTTTTGTTTCTGCTAAGGGGACAACTGCACCACATCAAAGAGACGATGGCAATGTACCATCAAATCTTGGGTTTTTAAAACCTTCTTCCCTCAGCCAGGGCATTGAAAATGGGTCGTGGATGGGTGTTCCAGAATGACAATGACCCAAAACACATGGCCATGGCAACAACGGAGTGGCTCAAGAAGAAGCACATTAAGGCCTAGCCAGTCTCCAGACCTTGATCCGAATGAAAATCTGTGGAGGGAGCTGAAAGTTCGAGTTGCCAAACATCAGCCACCAAACCTTAATGACTTGGAGAGGATCTGCCAAGAGGAGTGGGCCAAAATCCCTCCTGAGATGTGTGCAAACCTGGTGGCCAACTACAGGAAACGTCTGACCTCTGTGATTGCCAACAAGGGATTTGCCACCAAGTACTAAGTCATGTTTTGTGAAGGGGATCAAATACTTATTTCCCTCATGAACATGCAATTCAGTACATAATTTGTTAGACATGCATTTCTGTTGAATTTGTTGTTGCTGTTCTGTCTCTCAGTGTTACAATACACCTACCATTCGATTTTTAGACTGATCCTTTCTTTGTGAGTGGGCAAACATTCAAAATCAGCAGGGGATCAAATACGCATTTCCTTCACTGTAAGGGAGCTGCATTTTAGGGGGAAAAAGAAAGTGAACGACCGCAATATGTATATTTATTTATTTCTGGTACTTATATAGCACCGTCAACGTACGCAGCACTTTACATATATATTGTACATTCACATCAGTCCCTAACCCTCAAGGGGTGTACAATCTAAGGTCCCTAATTTAATACGTATATAAACGTTGTGGTTTGCAAGTGGTTAACCAGAATTACAGCTGAACACATCAGCCATAACCCCAGTATCTTTTTCTTCTGCCGGCAGCCAGCTTTTTATTGAAAATGGTCCGATTGGCTCATTAGCCACTGGATCGCTTTCAGTAGTGGCGGGGGGGGGTGACCTCGCTGGTGTTTCTCAGACATCACTTCTGGAACAATTTGTTTTCTTTTTTAAAGCAAACAATCAAACAATTTTTTTTTAATCTTTTGCTTTTAAAGGTAAAGGAAATATTTGAGGTCCTTTTGACCCCAGATCTCTCCTTAAAGAGGTCCTGTCATGCTTATTTCTATTACAAGGGACGTTTACATTCCTTTTAATAGGAATAAAAGAAAAAAAAATAAAATAAAGGGACAGTATAAAAATAAAAAATAAAATAAGAAAAAAAAAATTTAAAACGCCCCCATCCCTCCGTGCTCGTGCGCAGAAGTGAACACATACGTAAGTATAAGTTGCGCATGCATATGTAAACGGCGTTCACAGCACACATATGAGGTATCGCCGTTAATGTTAGAGTGAGAGCATTAATATTAGTGATAGAACTTCTCAGTAACTCTAAACAGGTAACAAAAAATGTTTTAAAGCGTCGCGTATGGAGATTTTTAAGTACCGTAGTTTGTTGCCATTCCATGAGCATGTGCAATTTTAACGTGTGACATGTTAGGTACTTATTTACTTGATGTAACATCCTCCTTCATGTTTTATAAAACATTTGGGGTATATATGGTGTTGTTTTGTTTTTTTTTTTTATTTATTAAAGCACAGCTTCACCCAAAAGGGGAAATTCCGCTTTAATACTTTGTCCCCTCTCCATTAAGGATTGGCATCTTTGAGGAGCGGGTACCCGAATTTGACAGGTACCTGCTCCCAATTCTGCTGAGAGCGCCTATGCCAGGGGTCTGCAACCTTTAAGACATAAAGAGCCACTTGGACCCGTTTTCGAGAGGGAAAAAAAGACTGGGAGCTGCAAAACCATTGCAACATTTAAAACAAATCCGACACTGCATATATTGCAAAAAGCGCTCTGGTCATGAAGGGGGTTTAAGGGCCCAGTAAGCAAAGGGTTAATCAGGGCCACAGTGTATCGTCATAATCACAATCATAGCCTTAGGTCAGTGGTGGGCAACCTTTTTTTTTTCAACTGAGCCAAATCTCGCCAAAACCACGATTGAAATTTATTTTGAGAGCCACATTTTTAAAACTGAAAATACATCCCCCATATAGTAATTCATCCCCCATAGTAATTCATCCCCCATATAGTAATTCATCCCCCATATAGTAATTCATCCCCCATAGTAATTCATCCCCCATATAGTAATTCATCCCCCCTATAGTAATTCATTCCCCATATTGTGTCAATTCACTTACCTTTGCTCCGCGCGTTCCTCTCGCCGTGTTCCCACGCCGTTCCGGTCTTCAGGGCGGACTGTGAGAGGAGAGGAGTTCGTCACGCTGCCCCGCCTACATCCTGACAGCCAATGTTTGCCACGCCCCGCGGGCCTGATTAAAAGGTCCGCCGGGCCGTAGTTTGCCCATTGCTGGGCTAGCTGCAGAGTCCTGACTTTTGGGGCGGGCGCGCCCGAGAGGAGGGAGGGGAGCGGGAGCGGGCGCCCGGCACACAGAAGAGCCGCAGCAAAGGTGAAAAAGAGCCACATGCGGCTCTGGAGCCGCGGGTTGCCGACACCCGGCCTAGGCAATCGGAAGCGGAAGTTGTCCTCTCTCCCACCCTCCCCGTAGTCTTCCGGGACATGTGACAGATCCTAGAAGACTACGGGGCCATTCACAAAGCGCAGCTCTTCTCGCGCATGCGCAGTGGGTACCCGGCTTGTGAAGCCGCAAGCTGTCACAGCCAGGTGCCCACACTAAAGATGCTGGCGCCGGAGAGAATACAGCCGGTGAAACCAGCAGTGGTGAGGACACCGCTGGACAGAGGGACAGGTAAGTGACTGTATTTTAAATGTCAGCAGCTACAGTTTTTTTTTATCAACTGGAACTCTACTTTAACCACTTCCTGTCCGGACACTTTTACCCCCTTCCTGTCCAGGGCAATTTTCAGCTTTCAGTGCTATCACACTTTGAATGACAATTGCGCGGTCATGCAATAGTGTACCCATATGAATTTTTTACCATTTTTTTGAGACAGATAAAGCTTTATTTTGGTGGTATTTATTCACCGCTGGGATTTTTATTTTTTTTGCTGTGTAAATGAAAAAGTCCAAAAATTTTGAAAAAAAGTGTTTTTTTTAATAAAAATTTTGCAAATAAATAATATTTCATCATAAATCTTGGTCAAAATTTATTCCGTTATTTTTTTAGTAAAAAAAAAAATCCAAATTAGTTTATAACCAAAAATTATAATTCTTAAACATTTTTTTTTTACATTTTTATTTTATTTTTTATATTATTATTTTTTATTTCTATTTTTTTTTTTTTGCATACTGTCACCCTAGCAGTACAGTGTCACCATGGTGAACTGTACTACTTGTGGGGGGCGATGAAGATTTTTTTTTTTTTTTTTTACACTGATTGCTTTTACACCCATATAGGATGTAAAAGCAATCATTTCTCTTTCTCTCTGTCTGCATTCTTAAAGTCATTGAGAAGTACTGAGTGAGCTGTGATTGGTCACAGCTTGTCACATGGTACAAGGCTGCTGTGAATAGCCTTGTACCATGTGACCTCTGTGATCATTCACAGATTTCACATGTAGTAAGCAATGATGTCACAAGTGACATCTTGCTTACTACTTTGCATGTGATCACGGATTGGCCAATCAGTGATCACATGATCGGGACCTCGTACAGAGGTCCCGTCCGACGATTGGTGTTTCACTGTGTCTGGAGGACACAGCGGGCATTCGGATCGTGGTGCTGCGCACTCCCAGGGAGAGCTAGAAAAGGCGGGTGCCGTTTATGAACGGCAACCCGCCCCTGGACTGCCACCGCCCTGCCGTTTATAAACAGCAGGCGGACAGCAAGTGGTTAAAGTGTTTATTTTTTTGTTTAAAAATAGCATTTGAAAAATTGCTGCGAAAATGTCATGTGACATAAAAAAATTGCAATGATCGCCATTTCATTCTCTAGTCTTTTCTAAAATATATATATATAAATGTTTGGGGGTTCTAAGTAATTTTCTAGCAAAAATACTGATTTAAACTGTTAAACAAAACACGCCAGTAAATGGTTGGTCTTCAAGTGGTTGAGGTAGAACAAAAAATGGATCGCACATATTTATTGGGAACAGGCGGGGCTGGAATTCAGAAAAAAAAAGTGAACTTAGCCTTCACAGCCGGTTCACACTATGCGGTGCGGGACACAGCATGTACTTTGCACCTGAGTCACACCGCATTCCTGTGTGAATTACATGCAAGTGTCTTTGGGGTGCGATTTGAACATACACTTTGTATGGCTCAAATCACATTGCATCTGCACCAAAAAGGTGCAGGACTCTTTTTTAAATCCACACCTGAATCACATCGCATGGGTATTCTCATCCATGCGATGTGATTTCTGGCAATTCTGAAATCTGTTTCGAGGGTGTCGTTAATTTATTTATTGACACCCGCACCAGATTGCATGAATGTGATGCGATTGCAATGTGGTGCGGGAAACGCACAGGATTTTCACAGTTTCCCGCACCACATTGGTGTGAATCCGGGCTTAAATTACCAATACCAACTGATTCCCCCCGCTGAGAGGTAAGCTGATCGCGTCTCACAGTGTTTTTTCCTGTTTTTCAGCACCTTCACTGGGGTCTGTTCAAGACAGGTGGAAAAAGTTCCTGTTCTTTACAATGAGACATTTATTCAGCCGGTGTACCAACCATACCTGACCACATGCCGCGGCCATAGGACCTGCAGCACCTACCGGTAAGATCGAGGGGTCGGCACACTAGTTTGATGTTTTACTGCATGATGGTGGGTGGGAAGCTTGAACCAAGCAATGCTGTTCATTGACTCTCTTGATTCTGTGTATAGACCTGTGACCTTTAGTAGCTGCTACCTATCATGCACTCAGGGCTGATCACTATATCTCTCACACACAGGGGTGGACTGACCATTTGGAAACTCGGGCACTGCCCGAGGGCTCAGGGTCAGTAGGGGCCCCATGAGATGCCCTTGGTACCTTTTTCATAGGCTTTTTTGAGTTTGGGCAAGGACACAGGGGCCCCATGATCCCCTATTGCCCGGGGGCCCCATGAGTTGTCAGTCCACCCCTGCTCACACACCAACAATAAATCAGTTTGGGACTGTTAGGCTCCTCTCACATTAGCACGTCTCCAAAGCGGCACGATTTCCAGTGTGACTTTGGAGCGACTTTGCATTCAATGGATCAAAGTTGTATCAAAGGTTGGACCAAAGCAGTGCGGGCGCCTTTTAAAAGTTGCTGTGACTTTAAGTTGCAGTGATTTAAATGGGTGTCATTGAAAAGAATGGCGTGCAATGTGTCATGTAACTTTGATGTCCAAAGTCGCATGACAAATCACACAAATGAGCCAAATACATTGAATGCCAACTAATAAGGAAGATCTTGGACCGATTTTACCACATTGGTTTCAAGGTTACAAAATGACAAAAACAAAGGGGTCCCCTTATGTGGTACAATAGGCATCAGGCCCAAGTTTGTGTTTACATCAGATATTAGAAAACTGTAAGGTGAGCTGGTATGCAACTGCTGGGAGGGGAGGGAGAGGAGGTGAGCTGGTGTGTAACTGCTGGGAGGGGGAGGAGGAGCTGGTGAGCTGGCGTGTAACTGCTGGGAGGGGGGAGCAGAGGGAGGTGAGCTGGCGGGCTGGTGTTCAACTGCTGGGAGGGGGGAGCAGAGGGAGATGAGCTGGCGTGCAACTGCTGGGAGGGGGGAGCAGAGGGAGGTGAGCTGGCGTGCAACTGCTGGGAGGGGGGGGGGGCAGAGGGAGGTGAGCTGGCGTGTAACTGCTGGGAGGGGGGAGCAGAGGGAGGTGAGCTGGCGTGAGCTGGGAGGGGGGAGCAGAGGGAGGTGAGCTGGCGTGTAACTGCTGGGGGAGGGGGGAGCAGAGGGAGGTGAGCTGGTGTTCAACTGCTGGGAGGGGGGAGCAGAGGGAGCAGGGAGCTGGTGTTCAACTGCTGGGAGGGGGGAGCAGAGGGAGATGAGCTGGCGTGCAACTGCTGGGAGAGCGGAGCAGAGGGAGGTGAGCTGGTGTGTAACTGCTGGGGGGGGGAGCAGAGGGAGGTGAGCTGGTGTGTAACTGCTGGGAGGGGGGAGCAGAGGGAGGTGAGCTGGCGTGCAACTGCTGGGAGGGGGGAGCAGAGGGAGATGAGCTGGCGTGCAACTGCTGGGAGGGGGGGAGCAGAGAGGGAGGTGAGCTGGCGTGTAACTGCTGGGAGGGGGGAGCAGAGGGAGGTGAGCTGGCGTGTAACTGCTGGGAGGGGGGGGAACAGAGGGAGGTGAACTGGTGTGTAACTGCTGGGGGAGGGGGGAGCAGAGGGAGGTGAGCTGGTGTGCAACTGCTGGGAGGGGGGAGCAGAGGGAGGTGAGCTGGTGTGCAACTGCTGGGAGGGGGGAGCAGAGGGAATAGAGCTGCTGAGTCACTGCTGGGAGGGGGGAGCAGCGGGAGTTGAGCTGCTGTGTCACTGCTGGGAGGGGGGGGAGTAGAGCTGCTGAGTCACTGCTGGGACGGGGGGGAGAGCAGTGGGAGTTGAGCTGCTGTGTCACTGCTGGGAGGGGGGAGCAGTGGGAGTAGAGTGACTGAGTCACTGCTGGGAGGGGGGAGCAGCGGGAGCTGAGCTGGTGTACCACTACTGATAGGGGAGCAGAAGAGGTTGAGTTGGTGTGTCACTGATCGGAGGTGTGGTAGGGGGGTAAGTTGAAATCCCAGAGTCACTGCTGGGAGGAGGAAGTTGAGCTGAAAGGTTGCTTCTAGGAGAGAGAAATGGGGAGTTGAGTATTTGAGCCAATGCTGGGAAGGGGGGCAGAGGGAGCTGAGTATTTGAGCCGCTGCTGGGATGGGGAGCAGAGGGAGCTGAGTTGCTGAGACACTGATAAGAGGAAGGGTTGGGTAGGTTTGCAGTGGAGTCACTGCCGGGAGGTAGAGCTGAGCTGCTGAATTACTAATAGGAAGGAGGAGCAGGTGAAGCAGAGCTGTTGAATCACTGATAGGAGAGTAGGAGGAATAGTGAAGTCACTGCTGGGAGGGGGGAGCAGAGCAGCTGAGTCATTTCTGGAAACAGGGAGAAAAACTGCTAAGTAACTGTTAGGAGTTTTTCTTCTACCACTACTTTGGAAAGTACCAGTGCCTTCATGCTGATCCATGTCCTGTCCTCAGTACTTTCTGAGACACTGACCCAGAACGAGGGAAGCCAGGCTGGTGGCATTTTCCCATGGAGGACAGCAAGGGCGGCCTCCAATTATGTTCCCAGTATGGGTTACCTCCAACAATCATGGAGTCTATTACCATTCTTTGTCATTGTATTGATTCCTGTGTCCATGACCCCGGGGACAAGGATCACTGTGAGAGAAGCTGAGCCATCCTTCTGTTTCAGGACGGTGTACTTGGTGTCAGTACGGCAGGTGAAGAAGGAGGTAGTACAGGTGAAGTCGGTGTGCTGCCCGGGGTGGAGGAAGAAGGAGCCCAATTCTGAATCCTGCGAAGAAGGTGAGAGCAAACGTCTCGTACTTTGTGTCCGGAAGTAACGTTCCAAGAGCTGAAGGTGTCAATGAAGGAAGCCTGTACTGGGGCCATTCCATGGGTGGCATTGCTTACATTTCTGGTTCCTGTTACATTTCTACTTCTTGGCTTGAAGGATATCCAACCCCAAAAAACTAAAATGTATTATATTGCAGTGTACCAGTCCTTAGATGTGGTGGCTGCATTAGTTTTATTTTTCTTCAGGCTAAGAATGCTTTCTGCAAGTACAGAATATCCTTCCTGTGCAGTAAACTGAAATCTCAATGTTTTTAATAGGGATGAGCTCCGGGTTCTGATAGGGATGAGCTCCGGGTTCTGATAGGAATGAGCTACGGGTTCTGATAGGGATGAGCTCCGGGTTTTGATAGGGAAGAGCTTTGGGTTCTGATAGGGAAGAGCTCCGTGTTTTGATAGGGATGAGCTCTGGGTTTTGATAGGGAAGAGCTCACAGTTCAGATAAGGATGAGCTCCAGGTTATGATAGGGAAGAGCTCCGGGTTCAGATAGGGATGAGCTCAGGGTTCTGATAGGGATGAGCTCAGGGTTCTGATAGGGATGAGCTCCGGGTTCAGATAGGGATGAGCTCAGGGTTCTGATAGGGATGAGCTCAGGGTTCTGATAGGGATGAGCTCAGGGTTCTGATAGGGATGAGCTCAGGGTTCTGATAGGGATGAGCTCAGGGTTCTGATAGGGATGAGCTCCGGGTTCAGATAGGGATGAGCTCAGGGTTCTGATAGGGATGAGCTCCGGGTTCAGATAGAGACGAGCTCCGGGTTCAGATAAGGATGAGCTCTGGGATCAGATAGGGATGAGCTACGGGTTTTAGATAGGGATGAGCTATGGGTTCAGATAGGGATGAGCTTAGGTTTCTGATAGGAAAGAGCTCCGTGTTTTGATAGGGATGAGCTCACGGTTCAGATAGGGATGAGCTCCAGGTTATGATAGGGAAGAGCTCTGGGTTCAGATAGGGATGAGCTCCAGGTTATGATAGGGATGAGCTCAGGGTTCAGATAGGGATGAGCTCCAGGTTATGATAGGGAAGAGCTCCGGGTTTAGATAGGGATGAGCTCAGGGTTCTGATAGGGATGAGCTCCGGGTTCAGATAGGGATGAGCTCCGGATTCTGATAAGGATATGCTCCGGGTTCAGATAGGGATGAGCTCCGGATTCTGATAAGGATGAGCTCCGGGTTCAGATAGGGATGAGCCCGATCAAACTAATTTTCAGCCAGTATATGTGATTATTGTTCAGAAATTACATTCATTTTAAAGTCGAATGTTAAAAGCAAAAGATAATTTTCGATTGACAATCGTCCATTTATCAAATGTTCAAAGAATTTTCAGACGAATATTCTCATCCGAAAATCTACAGGTGTATGGCCAGCTTTAGAGAGCGGGCTGTACGTTGCACCTGTCCCTCCAAGGCACACTAATGCAGGCCATAGACGGGCCGTTTATTGGCCAAATTTTCAGCCGATAAACAAAAAATTGGTTGGCCCCGTTGCCGATGCTGCCACCCATATCCACGAAAAACGGCCATTTTTTGCGGATTTCCCAGCATGACCGATAAAAATTAAATGAGGAGATCCACAAAAAAACGGCTGATGGGCTGGACCCACTAACGGCGTGATTGTCAGTTGATTTTTCGTGCGGACGAAAATTCACCCGATAAACGACCCGTCTATGGCCTGCATAAGACCTCGGTCGCTCTGGGCCCGACTTGGCATGCGATTTGCTTTCCATACAACTTGCACCCTATTGTCCACAATTATAGCGGTGATATCGCTGTGGTTCCCACTTGGTCGGATCCGCACTGATTTCTGAAGTTGTACATGGACTACAGTGAAGAGTCCTCTCCTGATCAGTTATATGGCTGTACAGTCAGTTGTAGAATGATCCCTACATTGCCCTGATCCTTATTTTGTGTCCTCAGCCGTGTGCCGCAAGCCTTGCCAGAACGGGGGGACCTGTATTAAGCCCAACATGTGCCGCTGTCCTGCTGGCTGGGGAGGACGGCACTGCCACGTCGGTGAGTAGACCTTCTTTCCTCTGGAACACAATCTCACTTCAGGGGTGTTGTCTGGATGTAGATGTCTAATGTCACCTTTTCATGTCTCAGATATCGATGAGTGCCGGCGCCCGTCCCGCTACTGCTCTCAGATATGCGGCAATACTCGGGGCAGCTACCACTGTGAGTGCAACGCAGGATACGCGCTCCAGGAGGACGGGAAGTCTTGTATCCGAGAGGAAACGCCGCTGGCTGTACCGGCACAGCAAGCTGAAGGTAAACAACGTCTCCGCTTCATTTAAGTGGTTGTAAACCCTTCCATATATCCAGGGAAGTGACTGGCCTCAGCTGATACACAGAGATAAAACAAATCCTCCTACGTAAGTTGTACCAGTTTATCTGTAGTATTCTCTACTTCTGTTCAGAGTGCAGAATTTACAGTTTGTCTGAGCTTTCAGAAAGCAGGGGGCAGGGAGCTAAAAGGTACACACTGCAGAGATCAGTGAGAGCTGATTGGAGGGAAGGGACCCCCCCCCTTTCACACAAGTACACAGGAACACAGCTGAGACTGTCAATCACAGGCTGTGTGCTGCTGTCTTGGTGTCAGAAGGAAATGAAAACGCGCAATCCCAACACACATGTTCCTGCGATGAGACATTGGCTGTATATTTAAACGGGTGCTGCAGTGAGCGCCAGCTGGAACTGAACAAAATCAACGGGGAAGAATGTCACCAGCACACCGAGAATCTCCGATGTCGGTCCAAACACTTTAATAAGCGATCACATAATTATAGCAAGGCAACGTTTCGGAGTCTCGCAGGACCCCTTCATCTGGCATGTTCCCTGTTGGTGTCAGAAGGAATTCATGCTGACAGCAGAGGAATGAAGCAGTAGATAGAAATGACACTTAGTGCTCTGGACTGAGACAAGTACACACTATACAGGGATATGCTTTGTTCATATTTCATGTCTGAGGTTTACAGCCACTTTAACTTTTCAAAATATGGTCATTGAGTTATTGTTTGTTCAAGTCACATGGAAAGCATCAAACGGAAAGACAACCAGGCAACAAGCATTTCCAGAAGGAGCCAAGCAATGGCAGTTCCCATATTGTGCTCACTACCACTTTAGAGGTGAACTCCGGCCTACCCTTCAGTTTTGCAGTTATATACGCTCCTCCTTGCTTACTCTGAGTCGAGCTTCTCACAGTGTGCATTAGAAACTGCAGTAAGTCAATAGAGCCTACCTCAATTCCTGGCTGGAGGACGTCCAGCATCATCTAGGTCTTTCCTTCCCAGCCTGCTCCTTTCATTCATTGGATTTCAATGTAGTCAATTATGGAGGCTTAGCATTACATGTGGGCATTACATAGGGTGGTCAGTATGCAAATAGAAAAAATTGAAGAGCAGAAGCAGAAGGCGCACCAACCTAGTGCATTACCTCAATATTAACTTTATCTGAATAAAAAATAGATATGTACTCACAAAGGACATGACATATAAATAGCATGCCAATCAGACAATACATGGGAGCGGCCTCACCCCCTGGACAAGTCCTTTTTGGGATTAGATGATCCAAAAGGCTGACGCGTTTTGAGGGGCAATCCCCTCTTCCTCAGAGCCAATCCCTGAAGGGATCATAGTTGCATCTCTGGTTTCCCCTGACCTGACGGAGGGAAGCACAGCCAGTGCCATCTTTGTCCTACTGAAAGGCCACTTAACAGTCCCACGGTGCCAACGCATTTCTCTTGAGTGCAGGAGGTGTCTAGGAAAGACTGACGCGTTTTCGAGGGACGATCCCCTCTTCCTCAGAGCCAATCCCTGAAGGAATCATAGTTGCATCTCTGGTTTCTCCTGACCTGATGGAAGGCAGCACAGCCAGTGCCATCTTTGTCCTACTCAAAGGCCACTTAACAGTCCCACGGTGCTAACGCATTTTTCTTGAGTGCAGGAGGTGTCTAGGAAAGACTGACGCGTTTCGAGGGGCAATCCCCTCTTCCTCAGAGCCAATCCTTGAAGGGATCATAGTTGCATATTTGGTTTCCCCTGGCCTGAAGGAAGGCAGCACAGCCAGTGCCATCTTTGTCCTACTCAAAGGCCACTTAACAGTCCCACGGTGCCAACGCATTTCTCTTGAGTGCAGGAGGTGTCTAGGAACACCCACAGACTGTGATCCTTCAATCAAGGAATTTTTATATTTTAACTTCTCCCAAGAGGCAGCCCACTGCTTGCATCAGAGCTTAGGACTCTTGAGAGGCAGGGTGTTGTGATGTTTTCAGGAAGCTATATACAGAATCCTGCCAGCTCCTCCCACCAGCCAGGATCTGCCTGCATTGCATAGGGAAGTTCAGAAACCCAGTGATGATGTCACTGAATCTAAAATAAAATATGTAGTGAACATGGAAGGGTGTTAATTCACAATGTCATTCTCATGTTGATGAGGGGGATGGGAGAACAGAGAAGGCAAAATAGAAGTAAATTCAACTTCAGCTTTAGACTACTTTCACACTGCTCCGTTACAAAAATATGGCAAAAACGCTTATATGTTTTGCATCCAGGGGCAAACTGACCATTTGGAAACTCGGCACTGCCCGAGGGCCCGGGGTCAGTAGGGGGCCCCATGAGATGCCCCTGGTACCTTTTTCATAGGCTTTTTTGAGTTTGGGCAAGGACACAGGGGCCCCATGAGTTGTCAGTCCGCCCCTGTTTGCACCTGTGAAAAAAGGACATGTGACTCAAAAAATGCACCAAAACCACAACCACAGGAGCGTTTTTGATTATCTTTTTGTTGTGTTTTTAATGCGTTTTCCATTCATTTCAATGGGGAGCTGCATTTTGGTGCATTTTTTTTTTTTTTTTACCGCACCAAAAATGCAGCAAGCAGGACCTACAACTGACCAGTGTGAAGTGTTCTGTAGGATTTAATGGTCACATGTTTTTTCTTCCGCATTTTCTAACTGCAAAAACGGAAGAAAATCTGATCAGTGTGAAAGCAGCCTTAATAACCTGGAGTGAGGAGGCGGGAGGGGGGGGGGCTGGAGTCCAGCGCTCCATAGAAGTCAGTTGTCTTCACATCCTGTCTGCAGAGACACGGTGTGCTGGTGGGGTCTGGCCCGGGGCCAAGGGCTGACTAAGCAAGGAAACCGCCATAAAATGACTCCATCAGTCCGGATCTCTGCTCCCGGCTAATTAAAAGGCAGGAAATGACTTGAAGAGAAGGAGCTGCTAAAATCGCCAAATAGAACCGATAAACACTTGTCACCACGGAGGAGCAAACCTCGTGCCATTCTATACACACCTCCACGGTCGTGACACTACACCATATCCGTATTCCCAAAAATAATCCATGCACCTAAGCGTTTTTTGCAGCGTTTTGCAGAAACGCACTACAGTCAATTTAACATGATTTTCTATGCGACACTTTCACTTTTTACCCGGCGCATTTTTTTGGAAAGGGTCAGGGACTTTTTTGAATGCAAAAAATTGCGTTTTTGTTTCAATGGAAACGCTGCAGAAAAAGCATTTATTGTGTTTTTGCCATTTTTTTATATGCGTTTTGCATTTTAAATCTGCCTAGCAACAAGAAAAATAATAAAAAATTAAAAAAAAAACGCAAAACACATAAAAAAAACGCAGCAAAAATGCAGTGCAGAAATGGCTCAAATGCAACCTGCATAGGTGTGAACTTATCCTTGCTGTGTTTTTCTCCTTGTAATGTCCTCTGTGAGTTCCTAAACCTCTCCTTTTCCCTCTCACTTCTCTTTGTTTGGGAAAGAAGAGAGCACGTTAGTTGCAGTCATGTACACGGCTCTATGCCCCTCACAAATCCCATAGTCCATCTCAGGAGTGAGCAAGAGATGGTAGCTACATTCAGGGGCGGACTGACAACTCATGGGGCCCCCGGGCAATAGGGGATCATGGGGCCCCTGTGTCCTTGCCCAAACTCAAAAAAAGCCTATGAAAAAGGTACCAATGGCATCTCATGGGGCCCCCTACTGACCCCGGGCCCTTGGGCAGTGCCTGAGTTTCCAAATGGTCAGTCCACCCCGGCTACATTCCTACAAACAGTGGGACAATGGAGAAGGAACATAGCCACCCTCCAACAGGAGGTACATATCACCGCATCATAAGACTTGCTTCACACATGTGCATTTTGTATTTGATGCTTTATCCAGTGCATTTTGCTGTTTGCTTTGCGTTTTTCTACACGCATTTTTGATGTGTTTTTACTGCGTTTTTATTTTTTGGAATTTTTTTTTTTTGCTGGGCAGAATAAAAATGTGAAACCTGGCAAAAACACACTATCATGCATTTCAGCAGCTTCTCCATTAAATTCTATTGTAGCAAAAAGGCTGCTTTTTGCTTTTAAAAAAGTCCAGGGGCGGACTGACAACTCATGGGGCCCCCGGGCAATAGGGGATCATGGGGTCCCTGTGTCCTTGCCCAAACTCAAAAAAGCCTATGAAAAAGGTACCAGGGGCATCTCATGGGGCCCCCTACTGACCCCAGGCCCTCGGGCAGTGCCCGAGTTTCCAAATGGTCAGTCCGCCCCTTTACCTGACCCTTTCCAAAAATGCAGCAACTCACAAAAGCATAGATGTGAACATATCTACGTATATCAGGCTACGAACATATATACGCACTACATATATGTAGTGCGTTTCTGCAAAAAGCACTAAAAAAAACGCATTGGTGCAAATGAAGCCTCAAAAAGAATTTGGAGATTTGGAGGAGGCTGATAGGAGATAGACTTTTTGAATGAAAGAAGAACTCTGGGAAAATGTATTTCTACACGCATTTTTGATGTGTTTTTACTGCATTTTTATTTTTTGGATTTTTTTTTTTGCTGGGCAGAATAAAAATGTGAAACATGGCAAAAACACACTATCATGCATTTCAGCAGCTTCTCCATTAAATTCTATTGATGACTGACAACTCATGGGGCCCCTGGGCAATAGGGGATCATGGGGCCCCTGTGTCCTTGCCCAAACTCAAAAAGCCTATGAAAAAGGTACCAGGGGCATCTCATGGGGCCCCCTACTGACCCCGGGCCCTCGGGCAGTTCCCGAGTTTCCAGATGGTCAGTCCGCCCCTGGACGTTCCCAACACCCACTGCTGCCCCCTACAGGCAGGCACCCTAGAGGAGGCTATATGCGGCATTGCTCCAGGGGTTGTGTCAAGCACCTGCATGCGACTGACACTTGCTGCAAACACCTTTGAAGATTGTGTCAATGTGTAGGCAGGTGCTTTAGGCAACCCCTGGAGCACTGCTGCATAAAGCCACCTCCTCTAATGCATTTCTTAGGACACCTGCTGTAGGGGGCAGCAGCAGGTGCTGGAAATGTCGTTAGTCGGGCTCTGCGCACTGTACAGACACGTGCATCAAGCCTTCTACTTTATTCTTTTAAAAATCAATGTTTAAAACACCAATTGATTTGTTGACTATAGGATGTATTTTCTCCTAGATGCATCTAACAGACTGTCTAATGAGGTCCATGACCTGCGCGGCCTTGTGACATCCTTGGAGCAGGTGAGCCCGGCATGTTCAGGTTTCAGGTTGAAGAGTGGAGCATTGGATAAGCACAGCAAATTTGCAATTGGAATAAAGGCTTTGGGGTTTTTTTGCAGCAAATTTAACACATTTTCTTTAAATACAGCATTTGAAAAAATAAATAAAAATGAAAAGGTGAAGTGGATAAAAAAAAAAAAATAAGCAGAAAAATAAAAGCTAAGAGGAGAAAAGAAAGAAAGAATTGAAAGTGTTACTAAACCCACAACAGTACAATCAGTATATGCAGTAAAGAGTGCTTGTTTATACTCACTGTGGAACCTAAGGGGTTAATCCTCTGCATTGTGTAAAAATGCTGTTTGATCCTGTCTTCCCCTTCTTCCAGTGCCCCCCTCTTATCCCCTGATAAGACATAGGGGTAGATTTACTAAAGCTGCTTCACTCACAATCTGGTGCAGCTGTGCATGGTAGCCAATCAGATTCTAACCTCAGCTTGTTCAATTAGGCTTTGGCAATAAAACCTGGAAGCTGATTGGTTGCTACGCAGAAGTGCACCTAATTTTCCAGCGTTAGTAAATAAACCCCATGTTGTGTGGAGTCACTCTGCACATGATCAGTATGGTGTGTATTGCTAGAGAGGTTTTAGGTTTTTTTTTCTTGGGACAGTGCATGTGGTCAGTACAGGGCCAATCAGCACTGATCAGACAGTGGTCAGGGGTTTTGCATCCTCGTAGTGCAGAATGAAAACTCCTCCTACAAGCTTTAACCAGCACTCAGCTGAAGTCACAAGACTGCTTTATACTGCTGCTGATGAGAAAAGGTATTTAGCCGTTTATATTGACTGAAATAATTGCATTTCCATGTCCTGTGTACTGTGGGAGACCAGATATAGTGAATGCAGGGTCCGGGGAGACCAGATATAGTGAATGCAGGGTCCGGGGAGACCAGATATAGTGAATGCAGAGTCCGGGAGACCAGATATAGTGAATGTAGGGTCCGGGGAGACCAGATATAGTGAATGCAGGGTCCTGGGAGACCAGATATAGTGAATGTAGGGTCCTGGGAGACCAGATATAGTGAATGCGGGGTCTGGGGAGACCAGATATAGTGAATGCAGGGTCCGGGGAGACCAGATATAGTGAATGCAGGGTCCGGGGAGACCAGATATAGTGAATGCAGGGTCCGGGGAGACCAGATATAGTGAATGCAGGGTCCGGGGAGACCAGATATAGTGAATGCAGAGTCCGGGAGAGCAGATATAGTGAATACAGGGTCCCGGGAGACCAGATATAGTGAATGCAGAGTCTGGGGAGAGCAGATATAGCAAATGCAGAGTCCGGACAGACCAGATATAGTGAATGCAGGGTACGGGGAGACCAGATATAGCGAATGCAGGGTCCGGGGAGACCAGATATGGTAAATGCAGGGTCCGGGGAGAGCAGATATAGCAAATGCAGGGTCCGGGGAGACCAGATATGGTAAATGCAGGGTCCGGGGAGACCAGATATAGCAAATGCAGGGTCCGGGGAGACCAGATATGGTAAATGCAGGGTCCGGGGAGACCGGATATGGTAAATGCAGGGTCCTGGGAGACCGGATATGGTGAATGCAGGGTCCGTGGAGACCGAATATAGTGAATGCAGGGTCCGGGGAGACCAGATATAGTGAATGCAGGGTCCTCGGAGACCAGATATAGTGAATGCAGAGTCCGGGGAGACCAGATATAGTGAATGCAGGGTCCGGGGAGACCAGATATAGTGAATGCAGGGTGCGGGGAGACCAGATATGGTGAATGCAGGGTCCGGGGAGACCAGATATAGTGTGAATGCAGGGTCCTGGGAGACCAGATATAGTGAATGCAGGGTCCGGGGAGATCATATATAGTGAATGCAGGGTCCGGGGAGATCATATATAGTGAATGCAGGGTGCGGGGAGACCAGATATGGTGAATGCAGGGTCCGGGGAGACCAGATATGGTGAATGCAGGGTCCTGGGTTTAGTAACACTTTAAGGCTAATTACGGTTAATTATTGGGTTATGAGGAGTTGAATAGGATCAATTTTTTAATGAAAACTTTTGTTTCTTTTTTTGGGAGCTCCATCGTACACAGGCGCTGTCTCTTCTGCGGTGCAGAGCAAGTCTCAGATGTCAACTTGACAGCCGGGTCTTACTGATACCAGTGACTGCACAAACATAGACCAGGATGAACAAGGTGGAACACGATCGTGAGCATCCCATGTTGGGATCAGTCACGGTTTTTCCGAAATACTACAGAGCACCAGTGTTTCATATCAAAGCTTCCAGTATACATGGCTCATAGCTGCTCAGCTGATGGGTGGATACATATACCATGGGCAGGGGCAGACTGACCATTCGAGCATTCGGGCACTGCCCGAGGGCCCGGGGTCAGTAGGGAGCCCCATGAAATGCCCCTGGTACCTTTTTTATACGCTTTTTTGGGTGTGCTTTGAGTGTGGCCAAGGACACAGGGGCCCCATGATCCCCTATTGCCTGGGGGCCCCATGAGTTGTCAGTCCGCCCCTGACCATGGGATCATAGATGGTTGCACTTCATTCCTCTGTATGACAACCCTCTTCTTTCTACAGAAGCTGGACAGCACCCTCTCAGCTCTGCAGCGGCTCATCCCCATCAAACTCTCGGAGATCCGCCAGGAACAGGTGCAGGAATTCTGGGAGCGGATCCGCAGTTTGGACCGCGTGGACTTCCTAAGTGACCAGCTGATGTACATGGAGGAAAAGATGGGGGAATGTAAGTCACAGAGCAGGCCATTCTCTGCAGTGGGTGTCCCCTTGTCCCACCAGTCCTATGTCTGGGCAATATTTCAATTCTGTTTGCTTTCAGGCATCGGAAAAAAAAATTAAATTCAATTAAAATAAATTAAATTAAATAATATCTTCTAAGTAAGTAGAAAAAGTAAACATTTAGGGCCGGTTCACGCTATACGTTTCTGCTTGCGCATTTTTATGCGTTTTTGGCGCATTCCGGTGCGTTTTTTTTTTATATGCATTTTTCCCCGTTCCAGTACAGTTCCATGCAGGAAAAATGCAGCCTGTTCTCTTTTTTTTTCTGCATCCGGAATGGACTGGAACTACAAGCACTGATGACATTGCCAACCATATAACCTACTTTCTTTGCAAGTTGGATGCAGAAAAAAAGCAACTGAAACACATGTAGTGTGAACCGGCTCTTAGTGCTGTAAAACAAATGAAGCAGAAAAAAGATTAAAGGATAACTAAACCCAGAGAGAAAAACATAATAAATTGCAGCATATGTGGTGGCTGCATTAGTTTTCAGGCTAAGAACATGTTGAACAAGTACAGAAAATATCTGTAGATTCTGCCAGTAATGTGGTGTCCTTGTCACTCCCTGTGATCTGTACAGAAAGCAATGTTAAAGTGTTACTAAACCTACAACAGTAAAATCAGTCTGTTTATGCAGTAAAGTATGCTTGTTATACTCACTGTGGAACCTAAGGGGTTAATCCTCTGCATTGTGTAAAAAATGCTGTTTGATCCTGTCTTCTCTGATCCTCCCCTTCTTCTACTGTCCCCAATCCATCTGCCGATAGAGCAGAACCTTGGGGGCAAGGTGCACATATGCTCAGTTTGGTGTGTATTGCTAGAGAGTTTTTTTTTCTTGGGAGTGTGCATGTGATTAGCACAGGGCCAATCATTACTGCCAAACAGAGGTCAGGGGTTATGCAGCCTCATAGGATGATCAGGGGAAAATGAAAACTCCTCCTATAAGCTTTAACCTGTGCTCTAGGGGATCAACTGTTGCTGTGAGGGGTCTTTTGTTGTGTGGGGGGGGGTGTCATTTGTTGCTGGGAGGAATCTGTTGTTGAGGGAGGGGTGTATTGTTGTTGGCTGCTAGAGGATTTAGTGATGCTGGCTGCTTGGAGATCTATTGTTGCTGGCAGGGGTCTATTGTTGCTAGGGTGGATCTATTGTTCCTGGGGGGAGGATATTTTACTGCTTTTTTGTTATCATTAACAAATACCATACAAATTACTTGGCATCACAAAATGATACCTGGTTCTGTATTCTCTGACAGGGGTAATACAGGGAGGTGGTGGGTGGGGGTTAAAGCAACACACGGTGCTTGAAGGTGAGTAGGGGGTGCAGACAATGGGTGATTTTGAAGCAGGGAGTACTTGCACCTATTCTCTGAGGTATATATTAGTTTTTTCCTGGGGGGGGGGGGGGGGTTTAGATATGCCTTAATACAGAATGCAGCATTGTAGGGACAGGTGTTGCAGAAACCACAGCAGTAGGCAGACCTTTAATGAGTAGTTGTCTTTTGAAATCTGAACTGCAGGACCTCATGTTCTGTCTCCCAGCCTCTCAGTGTGTATTATAATGTCAGATAAGTAGTCACTTACATTTCCCTTTCCTGCAGACATTTTTTAACTTGGTGCTGTAGTGCAGGGGTCTCCAAACTATGGCCCTCTAGCTGCTGAAGTACTACAAGTCCCATCATGCCTCTGCCTCTGGGAGTCTTGCCTGGTGGCTGTCAGAGTCTTGCAAGGCCTCATGGGACTTGCAGTTCCTCAACACCTGGAGGGCCATAGTTTGGAGGTCCCTGCTGTAGTGCACTGTGGTGTTTGAACACCATGTGGGAAGTCAGTCATTAGTTGACCCTGTCTAGCCTTCTAACCTTAAAGAAACCTAGAAAGCCCCCACCTAGCTGTTCACTTCCACCAGCATGACACTGGTGCCTTCTCAGCTGTTGACGTCCTACAGGTACACATCTTCTTTAATGCTGGCCATGCCATGAGCCCCCATAGAATTGTGCATTGCCGAACTCTAGCGCCAGTCTCGGAGAAGTGCCCTGTAACGGAACCGACCCAGACTGCGCTTGGGTACCGTTAGAATACCGCTTCTCCGTCCGAACACGGACAACAGACACCACAGCAGACCATACAAGACTAGACGACACTAGTCTTGAAGTAATCCAGAAGGTAGATAGAAGATATATACACTCAGGGGGCAATCCCCCCTCCCTGCATAATGACACAGGGTGGGGATATCTACATAACAAGAGACACACAGGTATTCAAACTTCACACCAGCAGACAGTCCCATCAGGAGGGAGGGCTGCTGGAGACACCCCACCCCCCCCAACAAGGTAATACACATAAACACATACATCCCATAATAGTTTTCTCCCAAGCAAGACACACAATAGAACAATGGGATGCAACCACATGACATTAAACAATCAACAACCCCCCACCCCAATATTAGGACAGATCACCCTGTACCCCTAACAGGCACAGGGTGATTTACACATAATAGGGATATGGGGAGCTGAGACAGGGGTCTCCCCACCTCTCCAAAGTGAGCTCTGTTCCATGGGCCCCCCCACCCAAAGTCACTCCTGTCACAGGCCCATTCAGATCTATGAGTGCTCAATGCACAAGCATGGCCAGAGCTGAAGAATACTTTTCACACATAGGAAATAAATTGTTCTTGTTACTGGGATCACAGTCTGGCAATATCCAGTCCAAGAATATTACATTTTGCCCAAAGAATTCACATTTACTGAAGGCTCCACGTGGTCTTGAGATGGTCCAGGAGTAGAGGTGAAGATGTTGGATGGTTGGGGGTGTTGTACACGGGGCAAGACGTATTATGAACAAGCAGGGCGTGTTCATTGCACCAGGGCCCAAACCGGGGGCGGATATGTACGCTCTGAGATGGGAAAAAGGGGTACAATTCAGTTCGAAGTGAACAGAAAAAAGGTCACAATCCTACCACGCCCTCATTATGTGCACCATGAATAATTAATATGCAAAAAATGATTGGTTAAAACAGAATTCACAGCTACTTTTCATTTATACCAGCTTTTCATAGTAACAGCTGCAGTGATTTAGAGGTTGGGTGAAAGTTTTTTATTTAGTTTTTTTTTTAAAAAGAGGTCTATATATCTGTCCAAAAATGAGGGACAACTAAAGATAGGCAGAGGGACTTGGTCCAAAAAGAGGGGACTGTTTGGAACTATGTGGACCAGTGCCGGGACAAGGTCTTCCAGTGCCCAGGGCAAAGATGTCAAACTGACCCCCCCCCCCCATTTATGAAGTGTTAGCTTAGAGGATCCACTTTGGGGGTGCGCAACCCACACCCCCTCCTGGCTCTCTCCTTTTTGCGCTGGGCTGACAAAAGTAGTGATGCCGCTGTCACTACTCCTGGCAGCCTTGTAACAGAAGTAACTCCGCAAAGGGTGCCCCTATTTCTGCAATACATCCTGTGCCCAGGGCTGCCGCCCCTCCTGCCCACCTCTTCTCCCAGCCCTGATGAAGACCATTTGTATAGACTTTGAAGCTACATATGTGCACAAAGGGATATCAGGGACCAGTTATACTAAATATTGGTTGAGGTTGAGAGTACTGGGATCCCACACCCTGACTACCTGGGCGCTTCTCTTTTTTAGGGCAGCTGAAATCCAAAATATATTACCATGCTCCTGGTTTTTAGTAACCAAGTGGTATCAGGCAACGAGCAGTAGGAATGTATGGTGTGATTTTGGCAAACTTACACCAAAGCAAGAACTCTCAATTTCGCTCATTGAGCGAATGGCACAGGGACCCACAAATGGGGCACAGGGACCACTTATCCAGCACCAACCTAGACCTCTCATGATTCACTTTAAGTCAGCCATACATGGACTGAAATTTGACCAGTTCAGCAGAGACCGGCAGGATTTTTTCAATGTATGGGCAGGCTGATTGTACCCAAGTTGATCAGTCAGCCTTTTGGATTTTTCTACATACTGATAATACCAGTGGCCAGGGGCGGGCTGACAACTCATGGGCCCCCCCGGGCAAGAGGGGATCATGGGGCCCCTGTGTCCTTGCCCAAACTTAAAAAAGCCTATGAAAAAGGTACCAGGGGAATCTCATGGGGTCCCCTACTGACCCCAGGCCCTCGGGCAGTGCCTGAGTTTCTAAATGGTCAGTCTGCCCCTGCCAGTGGCTATAGCCGTCAGAAGTAACCATTGTATTCTGCCAGCCTGGAATGTTCCCTGTGCCCCTGCTGGCAGACTACAATAGCTCAGCGGGAGGCATTCCCCCATCAACATCCTATATACTGTGATTATGATGGTTTTGGGTCTTCACTGCTCTTCAGAAAATTGTACCTACTATTACCCCATCAACACTGACTGTATGGGAATCGAGCAATTTCCTTTCCTTCCACCCATGGTGGAAAGAAAAAAAAAAAATTGTATCATCTATGGCCAGCCTTAGGCAAAACCTTTTTGTGGCTGACCAATCTTGGGTACCACATGGAAGCTATTCTACCCAACTAATATGCTGGATTGATTGTTGTTTCATCTTGTCTTCCATCTTTCTCTCTCTCCCCCTCTATGGTTAATTAATGTATAGTGGCCACCAGGGGTGGACTGACAACTCATGGGGCCCCCGGGCAATAGGGGATCCTGGGGCCCCTGTGTCCTTGCCCAAACTCAAAAAAGCCTATGAAAAATGTACCAGGGGCATCTCATGGGGCCCCCTACTGACCCCGGGCCCTCGGGCAGTGCCCAAGTTTCCAGATGGTCAGTCCGCCCCTGGTCGGGAGGGATGTCTTCTCCATTCTTCCCCCTTTGATGGAATTCCTGGCTTGTCATGTATTTTTCGCATTCCTTTCTCTCTCTATATTTGCTCATTGTATGGATATGTGACCCCACTTCTCTGCCTCCTACAGATGTCTCTACACATCTAGAAGACACAAGGCTGCTTTATTGTACTCTTTCTGGTGTGGTCCCCCCAATATGCGTAAACCACCAACTCATGGCCGCATTTCCCTCACTTAATATCCAGTTTATGGAGTCATTGCACATGCTCAGTATCTCAAATAAGGATAGTGCTGTGATCCGGGACACAGCATCATCTGAACAAGGGTCTAAGATGTGGGACTGACCCAATTTTCATCTATGCCTCCATTCTCTGTTTGGTCTGTACCATATGACATTGCTTCATAAGTAATCTGTAACCCTTTTCTCATTGCAGGTTCCTGTCGCAGTAATGACATAGAGCTACCTGTAAATCTAAAACGCTAATATCACAGTTCATCAAATTATTTATATTTCCCCCGGACCAATTTATTTATGTCCCCATCTACTATTTATAACCCTGTTTTTCCTTTTTTTGTCATGTTACAGTAATCAATAAAAAAATTATTTCTGTATAAATCCTGGAGTGTTTCTTAATCTTTTCCTACACAGTGGTCATTTCCCTTATGGAGGACTGAAATACAGGCAATACTACACATCGCTCTAGATGTCCATCTTTCCCACATTTCCCTATAGGCCCAGGAAGGTGCTGGAGGCAAAAGAAGGAAGCTTTTCTTACAGGTAGAATGTGTCCTTTTTTGTATATTTAAAGCAAATATTGTCTAAATACAAGAGGCATGTGTATTCTTACTTGAATCTTGGGAGTCTACAGTGGATATAAAAAGTCTACACACCCCTGTTAAAATGTCAGGTTTCTGGGATGTAAAAAAAGAGACAAAGATATATAACTTCAGAACTTTTTCCACCTTTAATGTGACCTATAAACTGTACAACTCAATTGAAAAAAAAAAACTGAAATCTTTTGGGGGTGAGTAAAAATAAAATACTAAAATAATGTGGTTGCATAAGTGTGCACACCCTCCTATAACTGAGGATGCAGCTGTGTTCAGAATTAAGCAATCACATTCAAAATTGTGTTAAATAGGAGTCAGTACACACCTGCCATCATTTAACATGCCTCTGATTAACCCCAAATAGAGTTCAGCTATCCTAGTAGGTCTTTCCTGACATTTTCTTAGTCGCATCCTACAGCAAACGCCATGGTCCACAGAGAGCTTCCATAGCATCAGAGGGATCTCATTGTTAAAAGGTATCTGTCATGAGAAGGTTACAAAAGAATTTCCAAGGCATTAGATATACCATGGAACACAGTGAAGACAGTCATCATCAAGTGGAGAAAATATGGCGCAACATTGACATTACCAAGAACTGGACGTCCCTCCAAAATTGATGAAAAGACGAGAAGAAAACTGGTCTGGGAGGCTGCCAAGAGGCCTACAGCAACATTAAAGGAGCTGCAGGAATATCTGGCAAGTACTGGCTGTATGGTACATGTGACAACAATCTCCCGTATTCTTCATATGTCTGGGCTATGGGGTAGAGTGGCAAGATGGAAGCCTTTAGTTACGAAGAAAAACATCCAAGCCTGACTAAATTTTGCAAAAACACATCTGAAGTCTCCCAAAAGCATGTAGAAAAACGTGTTATGGTCTGATGAAACCAAGGTTGAACTTTTTGGCCATAATTCCACAAGATATGTTTGGCTCTGGTTGTAGAAAAAAAAGTAGAACGTGCTGCATTTTTCCTGCACAGAACTGTACTGGAACGCGGTAAAATGCATCAAAAACGCACTGGAATGCACATGTCCCTACTTGAATTGAAGAAAAAGCAAAGAGGGAAAAAATGAGCCAGAATGCATCAACAACGCACCAGAAGGCACCAAAAATGTACTGGAACACACAGGTCCCTATTTGAATTGAAGAAAAAGCAGAGGGGAGAAAAAATTAACCGGAACACATAAAAAACGCACTGGAACGCACCAAAAATGCACTGGAATGCACTTCCCTATTTTAATTGAAGAAAAAGCAGAAGGGGAAAAAATGAGCCGGAACGTATCAAAAACGCACTAGAACGCACCAAAAATACACTAGAATGCACATGTCCCTATATGAATTGAAAAAAAAGTTGAAGTGGAAAAAAATGAGCCGGAACGCATCAACAACGCACCAGCACGCACCAATGCACTGGAATGCTCAAGTCCCTATATGAATTGAAAAAGCAGAGAGGAAAAAAATGAGCCGGAACGCATCAACAACGCACCAGAAGGCACCAAAAATGCACTGGAATGCATGTCCCTATTTGAATTGAAGAAAAAGCAGAGGGGGAAAAAATGAGCCGGAACGCATCAACAACGCACCAGAATGCACTGGAACGCACAGGTCCCTATTTGAATTGAAGAGAAAGCAGAAGTGGGAAAAAATGAGCCGGAACGTATCAAAAACGCACCAGCACGCACCAATGCACTGGAACGCACATGTCCCTATTTGAATTGAAAAAGCAGAGAGGAAAAAAATGAGCTGGAACACATCAACAACGCACCAGAAGGCACCAAAAATGCACTGGAATGCTCGACCCTATTTGAATTGAAGAAGAAGCAGAGGGGGAAAAAATGAGCCGGAACGCATCAACAACGCACCAGAACACACCAAAAATGCATTGGAATGCACGTCCCTATTTGAATTGAAGAAAAAGCAGGGGGAGAAAAAATTACCCGAAACACATCAAAAACGCACTGGAATGCACATCCCTATTTGAAGAAAAAGCAGAGGTGGGAAAAAATTAGCAGGAACACATCAAAAACGCACTGGAACGCACCAAAAATACAATGGAATGCACATGTACCTATTTGAATTGAAGAAAAAGCAGAAGGGGAAAAAATGAGCCGAACGTATCAAAAACACAGCAGAAGGCACCAAAAAGGCACTGGAACGCACAGGTCCCTATTTGAATTGAAGAAAATTCAGAAGTGAAAAAAAATTTACCTGAACGCATCAACAACGCACCAATGCACTAGAATGCACAAGTCCCTATTTGAATTGAAGAAAAAGCAGAGGGGGGAAAAGATTCGCTGAAATGCATCAAAATCGCACTGGAACGCACCAAAAATACACTGGAATGCACAAGTCCCTATCTGAACTGAAGAAAAAGCAGAGGGGTGAAAAAATGAGCCGGAACGCATCAACAACGCACACCGAAACAAGTAAAAAACACGCATGTGGAAACACATCTGGACTGCGTTTCTATGGTGTGAACTGGCCCTTAAAGGATATTTTTCTCTGTAGAGGTCATTTAAAGTGAATGTTTCCCCCAAATTTACGACACGGATCGTATGTGTTATTAATTCAGGTCAGATCGTCTTTCCTCCTCCATTTCCTTCACCACTGTAGTTTTGACTGTCTTTCTAATCTAAGAAGGTCGGGACCAGGGGCGGACTGACAACTCATGGGGCCCCTGTGTCCTTGCCCAAACTCAAAAAAGCCTATGAAAAAGGTACCAGGGGCATCTCATGGGGCCCCCTACTGACCCCGGGCCCTCGGGCAGTGGCCGAGTTTCCAGATGGTCAGTCCGCCCGCCCCTGGTCGGGAGGGTTGTCTTCTCCATTCTTCTCCCTTTGATGGAATTCCTGGCTTGTCATATATTTGTCTCTCTATATTTGCTCATTGGGATATGTGACCCCACTTCTCTGCCTCCTACGGATGTCTCTACACATCTAGAAGACACAAGGCTGCTTTATTCTTCTCCCTCTCAGCCTCGGGTTGGTCTCCGGCCTCCACTCTCCGGCTCTTTCCTGCCTCTCTCCCTCTCACCATGTGCTGGGCTGTGATAAGAATGAAATCAAGGAGTAGACAGAGGCTCTCCTCCCTTCCTGAGCTGGGGAAAGGCTGGGTGGTGGCCATGTAAGGTGCTGCTGACCATAACACCACCCTTCCCTCCACTGTAAACACAATAATCTGCAGGGAACAGAGGCCAAGCTACGGATGTCTTCGTCATTCACTTCCCATTAGCAGGTGCAAACACTTAAGGCATCTCACACATATGAAGGCGAGGAGGCCAAGATCATATTATTAACCACTTCCAGTCCGGACACTTTTACCCCCTTCCTGACCAGGGCAATTTTCAGCTTTCAGCGCTATCACACTTTGAATGACAATTGCGCGGGTCATGCAACACTGTACCCATATGAATTTACCATTTTTTTGAGACAGATAAAGCTTTATTTTAGTGGTATTTTATTTTTTTGCTATGTAAATGAAAATGTCCAAAAATGTTGAATAAAAAGTGTTTTTCTTATAAAATTTTGCAAATAAATAATATTTCATCATAAATCTTGGCCAAAATGTATTCCATTATCTTTTTAGTAGGAAAAAAAAAAAATAAGCCAAATTAGTTTATAACCAAAAATTATAATTTTTAAACATTTTTTTTTACATTTTTTTTTGCATACTGTACTACTTTTGGGGGGTGATGATTTTTTTTTTTTTTTTTTTTACACTGATTGCTTTTACACCCATATAGGATGTAAAAGCAATCATTTCTCTTTCTCTCTGTCTGCATTCTTGCAGCCATTGAGAAATACTGAGTGAGCTGTGATTGGTCACAGCTTGTCACATGGTACAAGGCTGTTGTGAATAGCCTTGTACCATGTGACCTCTGTGATCATTTACAGATTTCACACGTAGTAAGCAATGGTGTCACAAGTGACATCTTGTTTACTACTTTGCATGTGATCACTGATTGGCCAATCAGTGATCACATGATCGGGACCTCGTACAGAGGTCCCGTCCGACGATCGGTGTTTCCGGAGGACACAGCGGGCACCGGATCACGGTGCTGCGTGCTCCCGGGAAGCGCGCAAAAGCAGGGTGCGGGGAGGTCGTTTATAAACGGACAACCAACCCTGCAGAAAATAAACAGAATAGAAAGAATATAGCCGTCTTCTGAAATTCAAATTTCAAAACTCCAATTTCAAATAGAATAGAATAAAATAGAAAGAATACAGCTGTCTTCAAAAATTCAACTTTCAAAATGAATAGAATGAAAAAAAAAAATAGAAAATAAAAGAATAGAAAATAAAGGAATAGAATAGAAAAGAATAGATTAGAATAGAATAACACAGAAAAAATAGAATAAAACAGAATAGAATAAAATCGAAAAGAATAGAAAATAAAAAAGAATAGTAAAACATTTAATAGAATAAAATAGAATGAATGATTAGCCGTCTTCCAAAATTTGAAATTCAAATAGAATCGAACAAGCTATTCTTCACAATGAATTCGGATCGACTCAATATTTTGATTTGAAAATCGATTCGAATACTTAGAATCCATTGGAAAAATTTTAATCTGGTTAAAACCGATTAAACCAAAATTTTTTACGAATGCAACAAAACTAAATTAGTAACTTAACAAATTAATCTGAAACTATTT